TCGTGTGTGCTGCCCCATGGCCTTGAATAACCTTTGGCTGACTACGGGGTCAAAATTCTGGTCTCATGGTTCGAGCCCTTAGCAGCAAGGGCAACATTGACTCCAAAAGCCCAAGAAATAAACCCAGCATGTAAGTTGGATTTCAGCCCTTCATGGATATCAGTTCAGATCCAGGATGCTTCTAAAGAGATACAGAATCTAGCATTATAAATATTCATAGAGCTAAACCAGAAGTTATTTTAAATAATTAATAAAAATATGATTTAATACAGACAGAACATACCTGATATTCAAGACACATTAAAGCTGAATTAAGTTGTGTTATATTTAAACCAAGTCTTAATCAGAAAGCCCCTAATAAGCTGGTGTTTCTTGCTATCAATTTTAAATTCCTAAATCATATACATCAATTCAGCTCTCACTGCAGTCAGAACAAAAGGAGGATTTGGCTAACCCATTAAACACAACCATCTCCCAAAAGGGAAAATTCGCTTTTATAGAACATTATATAGTTTTAAAAGTCTTTTTAACGGGCTATATGGGTGCTGGCAGTGATAATGTTATTGCAGGCTATTGAAATTGCAAGTATGACTCTGAGCACCATTTCCCCCACAAATACCAGAAAATTAAATGTACACAGAGAATAACGAGAGTGAGAGAGATCCAGTAACCAAGAATTAATACATTCCGACAGGGACCTCAGGTAGCCCATCCATGTCAGCCCCAGCAAGCAGAAGGTCCTATACTGCCCGCTTCCTACCAGGGTATCTGCAGGCTGCCTGGGACTTCTGCTGTTTACCCATGATAAGAGAAAAATTCAGCTTCTCCACAGGTGCAAGGAAAAAATACCTAACAGCCAAATCAGAAACAGATGCCTTCCAGAGACCAGGGCTTTGACAACTATTTGACAATCAGAGACATGCATGATTTTATAAAAAGGGCAGCATTAGCCAAAGGCCTTTTTCACAAATTTAAGCAGCCTTAAATTACTGCTGCTGCTCCCCTCACCATAAGGAGCAATGAAAGCTTGGAGACTCACTTACAAATGACTATGACTAAGAGAAAGTCACTTCCATCCATGCTGAGGCACACAGTGTTTTTTGCAGACACAGGAAAGGGACGTTATTCAACACATGCCAACTGCACCATGAGCTCTGAGCCTGCTGCTGAGAACAGGTTAGCTGAGATTGGCAGAGTTGGTTTGTGTCCTCACTTCTCAGAGGCAGAGCCTCGACACATCTGAGACTCGCATCAACCCCAAGCAGGTGCTTTTGTTTTAAGCTCACCTACCTGAGAGGGGATAATGCTCACTATTGCTTCTATGATTCTACATCTTTAATTCCTTCATCATTGCTGACTTTCTGTTGTTTCACTTGGCAAAAAGCTGCTACAAGTACTTGTCAGAATATTACAAGCACTGTTGTAAGTTCCTAACTTCCTCTGTCCGTGTGAAACTGTGTTCCACAGACTCAGCCACAGGCTGCACAGACGGTTCCAAGGGTATTTTTTACTTCTTGACCCTCTTCCTCTCTCTGCAATTTCCAGACTCCATTTGTGTGACCTACATCTCATCTCTAACTCGTCACAGGAACTGTGCATTCACTTTTCACCAAATCCCCTACTCTTCTGCTGCAGCTATCAGCATCCTTACATGAGCCGTGCTCTTAGCCTCAGTTTCGATTTCAGCTCTGACGCCACGCGCTCCTCCGGGTGACACATGACATTATTTCTGTACCCTACCCACTTCTCCTTTTCTGCTCACCAGCCTATCCAAGATTAGCCTTGCTAAACTCAGCTCAAGCCCAAACGCCTTGGAGTGACACAGAGGGAGACGCTGCTTCATCCTCCGGAGCTAAAGCCTGGAGGTGAGTGCAGGGGTCTTCCTCATGTCTCCCCTTCTACCCCATCCGAATCTGCTGGCACCTCCCAAACCTCCCAGCAAGTCTCTTCCCTTCCATAAGGCCATTTACACCAGCTACTACACTTGGAAGATTTGTTATCACCATCGTAAATGCTTAACTTTCCTTGGAAAACTCCCTCCTGTAAGAATCCTTTTGTCACATTAACCTCCATTCCTTCTTACCCTTTTTATACTGCAGCAGCAGAAAAAGGCAACACCTTTCCATTCTGCTTAGATTGCTAAAAATAACATACAGGAAACTCAAATCACAAGCAGACTACAACGCAAAAATGTTGGATTGACCTGGCAGTCAGCACCAGTTTAGCCAACACCAGCTGCTCTGGAGGGCCAGCACGGCTGGCGCCCCCGGACAGGCCAGGGCCACCTCCGCGAGGGCAGCCCCGGCACGGGCTCCCGGCGGGACGGCGCGCTCACCTGAGCAGAGCTGCTCGATCTTGGTGAGCATCAGCTGCAGGGACTCATTGATCCAGGCGAGCATGTCATGTCGGCTCAGGTTGTCGCTCGTCACCGACGTGGAGTACACATTCACTGCCATTTTCTGGAAGACACGAGCGCGGGGTGAGCGCCCACGCGGGGGCTGCTCGGGCGCTGCTGCGGCGGGACGGCGCGCTCACCTGAGCAGAGCTGCTCGATCTTGGTGAGCATCAGCTGCAGGGACTCATTGATCCAGGCGAGCATGTCATGTCGGCTCAGGTTGTCGCTCGTCACCGACGTGGAGTACACATTCACTGCCATTTTCTGGAAGACACGAGCGCGGGGTGAGCGCCCACGCGGGGGCTGCTCGGGCGCTGCTGCCCGCGGGGCGCCCCGGGGCCGCGCTCCGGTGCTCCCCGGTGCG